TTGGCAGCTGGTGCAGCCGTACATGGCCGAGATTACCCTGGTGGTCAGGGGGCTCGGCAGGGTACAGGTTTTGCAGTGGAGGCGGTGCATGGCGTGGGTGGTGATGGCGGCATCACCGAGGGGCAGCTGGAGCTGTTGTGGAACTGGGGCTGGCCTTAAGTGGCTCGGTGTCTTCATCATCTTCCCCGACATTGGAAAACATGGTGGGACTACTGAGCACAGTGCTGAGTCAGCCTGTTGCCCAGCAATTCGGGTTGTGGCTCCACCACACCGGCGTGTACCGTGTACTGCACAAGCATGGCAGTAGCATGCCACTTGGGGGCAGTACTGTTTCATCCCTGTACCGTGGAAGCTCGAAGACATGCAGCAAAAGGTTAACGCTGTGGAAAAAAATAGGAGATTTTTTTATTTTTTTATGCTTGTGACAGAGAGAGAAAACGGAGAGATCGACGATCAACAGTTAGACAGTAACGTGGGAACGCAGATCGACACTTTGGCAGTTCGGGTAACAGTGAGGAGAGAGATTTTGGAGATCGAACCTCGACTATACGGAATTCGCAATTACTAATAGAAAAGCAGCAGAACCGTTTGTAGGCTCCCGTGGCTTTCGTACGAGCCCGTGACCTTTTGACCTCTCAGAACTCTTTACAATTTGATTAATTTTAAAGCATTCCCAGCCCAGCCCCCCCGTGGGACTGCTGAGCACAGTGCTGAGTCAGCCTGTTGCCCAGCAATTCGGGTTGTGGCTCTACCACACCGACGTGTACCGTGTACTGCACAAGCATGACCGTAGCAAGCCACTTGGGGGCAGTACTGTTTCATCCCTGTATCGTGGAAGCTCGCAGACATGCAGCAAAACTGCCAATGGCACATGCAAGTCCGAGTCAGTGCACGCCCCCTTCAAGTCACTCCGGGCACTCCCTACACATACAGATCTCAATCCTGCCATGCTTGCACAAGTCAAACACATTCATCATCAAACTTTGGGTTTGCGTTGTGGGGGAACGAAGCCACGGTCATCCAGGGGTGCGAATCGAGATAAGAGCTTACGTCATCCCTGCTCCACCTCGCCGCCACGCCGGTCTCCATCTGAAGGAGGCACTCCACAATTGCCGCATGTCCTGCGAGTGCGGCAGCGTGCAGCGGCGTAACCTTGCTCTGTACCATGTGCCCACCGCTCCCAGTCAGCCCGCACTATCCCGTGGACCATCGTTTTCCCTTCAGCTATCCCCTCGCGACCCTGATGCACGTTGTGGATTGATGCACTAGCTCGCAAGATGTGTGCAGTGACGGTGCTGAGATCTCACGTCAGGCATGGATGGACGGAAACCAGCTCGCATCGAGCATGAATGGACGGACGGCATCTCACGACGGCGCCTTGGCGTGTGGATGCCTTCAAAGTCCTTTCGAGCTGCAATGTCTGCAATCGACGGCCCCGCTCCCACGTCCCTGGGGGATCATGAGGTGGGTGCACGACGTGCGCCAGGTGCATACTCTGGCGAAGAGAGCGGTGAGAGCTCACTTTACCATGAGCATCCGTTCGTGCGTCAGCAAGGTAAAGGAGGTGCATAACAATCAATCATTGCGCTAAACTTGCCGCCGTGTGCAATGCCGTAAGTTCCAGATGCAATCGGTCAACGCAGCGCACTCGCCCGTTCCTCCGACCTCACTTGCTGTTCTCCCCCAGCAATACTCCGCAACAGTGAGCATTGCCACGTCTGTGCACACTAGCATCGCTTTGTGGTCATGCAGGAGACATGCACACCGCAGAGGATACACCGAGATCTGCGAGGCGGCCCACGCAGTCAACCCAACCATAACCCCAAGATAGGCATTCGCCTGCAAGAATAGGGATACAGGGTTAACATGCTTAAGCTGTGAAATAAAAAAGGAGTTAAGCTCACTCTATCAAGAACGTTCGGGTCAGCGCCCGCATTGATGAGGACCTCCACGGTCTCCTTGTGTCCTTTCTGCGCAGCCCAGTGCAATGGTGTGCGCCGGTAGGTCTGTACCAGGCGCGTGCCGCTCAGTGTAGGTTACCGCTCTTCCCCTCACCACCTTGCACTGCCACTCCACAGCCCGCATGGGATTCCTACATATCTACCTCTTGGCAGTGGGGTCCCAGAGAAGCGCATCGCCTGAGCTCCACTTTGCTTCTATCAGCATGCCTCCTTCGCCTACGAGAAGGCCCTGGATGTACACGATCCATCCAGCCGCAGCTCGTTCCATCCAAGGCGATGTGATAGAAACTGTGATTAAAGATGGAAGAACCGGCGCACATTTATTTCCCGAAATGAAGATATTTTTTGCGGCGCTGAAGGCTTGAAGGCGGTTTTAGAAAACCTCCACTTGCATTAGGTTGCGCAGGTGGTGCCACATTTTGATTTCGATATTACAACCTCGATTGCATACACTATGCATACTTCTGGTACACACAGCTAAAACTTTTGGGAGTCCTTGATTCACGACAAACCAGTCCGAGTTTGCCAGAAAAACTGGAAAAAACAAAGGTTTCGATCTTTTTGGAAACTTGTGAGAATGAGACGAGCCAAAAGCGGCCTGGGTTTGGCGAAAGATTGCATTTGATTGTCTTCCAATATTTTAGGCGGCAAAACTCCACCGGTGGCTCACCACAGGCTGAACCACCTTAAACTTGTGGCACTTACAATTCGGGATAAAGAACAAAGAGCCCAACTCACCTCACAACAAGCGTCCTTGTCAGCGCCCGCCTCGAGGAGGGCCTTCACGAGCGCTGTGTATCCCTTGTCCGCCGCCACATGGAGTGGTTTGCAGGACAAAGACTTTAACGGGTACCGCATATCCATATTGGCGCCACCTCCGTGCGCCAACACGCTGACAAGCTCGAGTTGATGACGTGAGAGGGCGATGTGCATCGGGGTGCGCCGGTCCTGCAACCCGCCCCACGCATCAAGGCTAACCGCCAGGTGGACACACACAAACACAACACCGCTCTCGGAAAGCGTTTGTCTCTTGTTGCTCCATGGTGCGACAAGCGAATAGAGCGGAGTACTCCGGACAAAGAGTGAGCCCGCGCGTCACATAGGATACATACGTTGCCGAATGCAGGGAGCACGCACCAAGATATCTTCTGCGGTCACCGCGGCCCCGTTTCGCACCAGCAACTCCGCCACGTCGGCACGTCCTTGATTGCTGGCCTCGTGCAGAGCCGTCCACTTGTTCTGATTCGGCAGCGCCACCACCTCCAGTTCGGGAGCAAAATTTTCAATCTAGCTGTGAACAGGAAGCATACTATCACAGGAACTTGTCAGCGAGGTGACAACAAATCAGGCGAACTATGTTCTTGAATATGTACATCTCGCACTTCCAGTCAACGACATGCATACCTCGACTACAGCTTCCCTCACTGCGGCTCCGGCTGCCAAGAGCTGCTTAACTATATCTAACTCTCCGTGTCGAACCGCAATGTACAATGCCGTGTAGCCAGTCGGCTGCGAGTGTTCCCACACAAGCCTTCAGAGAGAGAGTTACCAGTGATCACAACTATATTTGTTGTGCATAGTTGTTGTGTTCAGGAAAGCAAATCGAGATATGCCGAAAGATCGGTTCTTAGTAACCGCAGACCTCGGCAAATTGTGGCAGAAAGGCGTATATGGTAGCACAAAAGTGTGATTTTGAGGCATATAGTCCTCGTGGTCGGTATTCGCATGCGTCCTACATACGAAAATAATCCCGCTTTAAAATACGAACGTGGATACTGTGCATACCCCATTCCGAACGTTGAGGTCACGCTCAAAGTACCGTCGCAAAGTACCGCCGAGTAGCGTCTTCACTGCCCCGACGTCGTCACTCGCCACTGCGCGGAACAGCGCAGTACACTGTTGGCGCCCACACCTTGGCTAACCATCAGAAGAAAGAATGGCGCAGTTAACTGCACGGAATATATCGGCGTCCGCCAGCATACTTTGAAACACCGACGCAAGCTCTGGAAAGAAGCATGCGCCGACGAACTGGATTGTGGAAGGCTGTGTTTCAAGTGGGATGCACGTTGTTGAATGAGGGCGCAGGTTCCCGTGTGTCGGAGTGAGGTAGCATACACAATCTTCAGGTTTGCAACACTGTTTTCTTTCTGGGCACGCTTCGTACACAATTTTCGACAGGAAAGGATCTGCTATTTATCACACTATGGGTGAATATCTGGGTGTGCGCGGCGCGCTGCTCCCGGGCCATCTGCTCCTCCCCCGCAAGCCGGCGCGGCCCCTGCAAGCGGTTGCGGTTTTTGCGTATCAAAGGCGCGCCGTTTTCATAAAGGGCCTACCATCGCGTAACAAGGGCCTACTAGTGTGAAGGGCGCTTACCGAAGGCGCTTCATCCGAAGCGATTGAGCAAGAATTGCCCCCCACGTTTTCGAGGATTCTAACTCAGAAGTGAAATCTGGCTCTGAGCACCCAGCGTTCTGGTACATGTCGACATGGTGACACTGACGACTTCGACTTAGGACACTATTCTCACCCTGGGGGAACGTTCGCGCTTTTAGAATTGCTTGTTGACATAACTTCGGCGATGCATAAACAGGTGCCGAATTGGCATACAAAGCGGGGCAGCTGCTGGCTTTATTTTAAATGTTTGAATCCGAATATCTGATCAATCTGCGTTCAAAACAGACGAGAGGAGCAGACGAGAGATGCCATTTGGACACGCCGGCGCGCCAAATTGGACACGCCGTCGCGTCCCCAGAAGGTCAGACGCCACCCCAGCGCGTGGCGCGAGGCGAATATTTTCGCGCTACAGTACTGTACGCCAGCGCCTTGGCGCGACAGCGCGGCCTCTGAGAACCATCGCGTGACGCGCCAGCGCCTGATCACAGGCTTGCCGTCCGCATCCTTCAGGCCGCCCCCGGTCCAAGCACGCCCAAAAGAACGTACTCCCACCATCCGCCGTGACCTTTACCGGTCCTGGCGTGATCGAACCCGCTACAAGGTCCGCGGTGATGATCAGGGAAACAAATCACTGCTAGACCGAGCCCGAAAAGGTGAGCCAGGGATCGAGCCCGTGACCTCTCGCATACCGGACGAGCGCTCTGCCGTTGAGCTACTCTGGCTATTGATGGCGATTCTGGTGCGGTACAGAGTACGGAGTCCCCACAGTGCCACGTAGGCGGCGAAGAGTGACACACGAAGGAACGCTATGTTTTCCCCCCAATCTGCCGTTGTCGGTACCCCGCTGGACCCGCGGGGCACGCGGCTGGTCCCGCCGCGACTGTTGGGGGAAATAATTGCGTTCCCCATGACACAACCTCACTCTGAAGTGTCTACGTGGCACAACCACACAACCGCGATGCGCAGTGGAAGCGTGGTTGGCCCATAACCTCATGGGGAAACAGAAATTGTACCGCTAGACCAGAAGCCCGAAAAAGGTGAGCCAGGCCGGGATCGAGCCCGTGACCTCTCGCATACCGGACGAGCGCTCTGTCGTTGAGCTACTCTGGCTATTGATGGCGATTCTGGTGCGGTACAGAGTACTGAGTCCCCACAGTGCCACGTAGGCGGCGAAGCCTTCCTACGAGTGACACTGAGTGACACACGAAGGAACGCTTTGTTTTCCCCCTGCTGAAATCTGTATAGGCAGCCCTGACCGGGAGTCCCGGTGCAGGCCCCTATGACAGATTCCTAGGTAGCCAACACTGGACCTGTGACTGATCCGTAAGCCCGTGCTGTGACACATCAAGGTGTCACAGGTAGCTAGGACCGAGACCGTTCCGACTCCGTGACCGTTCCGGGTATATCTAGCTTAGGGTTTATTTCTTATACGAGTTTATCTATATTGGTTCACTGACTGTCTTATATCTTGAACCGGGATATTCCAGTAGGTCGTGGACCCATTCCACGCTATATTCCACAGCTAGTTTGGCCATCATTGGCTAAAGCAGCCGCTTGGAGAGGTGGTGCGCGACGGCGCGTTTGGGGACTCACGGGAATTTTGAGATGAGCTGTTTGCGGTGAGCGTTTTTGAGCCGCAGCTATGGGGGTTCGACCTGGATCGGGCCTAGTCGACGCAATGTTCATTTACGGTATTACGCTTGCCCTGATCCCGCTTGCTACCGATTCTTGGGCTGGTGGCTCGAGCACCTTCGACCTCGACGACGTCTTCCAGTGCCCCTCGCTTGCATGGCTCTACCGCTCCTTCCGTAACTGTGGCGTCGCATCCCTTCCCCACGTCATTACCCGAACGCGCCCCGGCGGTACCACCTCCCATCAGGCTTTCAGAGTTATGGGTGTTACCACCATAGCAAAGAAGTCCCTCACGAGGGACAACGACATTGATGCCTCGCTGAGGCTTATCGACGGGGTTCGGAACAGCCCGACGGTGCGGACACCGACTGTTCCGACCCCCAACCCTGCTTCGAACGAGGGCGCGGACGTGGCCATTAGGCGTTACTTGCAGGAGCAGGCGAAGCTGACCGACGAGATCTACAAGGCACGTCTTCATCGTGCCTGGGCCAAGAGCGTCCGCGAGGACGTTCTTGGTGACAAGAAACACCATTTCCGCGATACGGACGACGCTGGCCTTCTGTCCGACCTGGTGGTGCAGCTACGTACGGATTTCGAGTCAGCTGGGCTGGAGCTGAAGTCATTTGATCTCGACGACCCCCTCACCCCGGTTGTGAGCCGGGTGAATGGCCTTCTGTACGACGTGCTGGCTCTCGTGGTGGAGAAGCACAGCAACGCGTATGTCTGGCTCACGGGTACGGATGCTTCCTCTGACCGAGATGGCCGGCGGGCTTTGGTCGACATCATCAAGGGCTGCGTACCGGTGGCGCTGCGAGAGTCGCAGCAGGAGGAGCATGCGGCCTTGCGTTACCCCGCAAACGTAGGCCCGCAGCCGATCTTGGCGCGGGAGCAACGTTTGGTGCGGGACAACAGGGCCTCCGACTGGACACCTACGGAGGCTACGCGTAAGCTAAGCCTGTACACCAGGCTTGACCCGGCGTTCTACGCTGCGGTTAAGGTGCGCTACCCCATGGCTGCTGACTTGGCCCATGTTCCGTTGGCCTCACTCCGCTCCATGGTGGTATAGAAATCTACCAGGCTTGGGCTCTGACTGACACGGGTAAGGCGGCTTCTGGCGCGGATGGCATCTCCGCGCACCTCTCCAGCAGCGAGTACGACGCCCTCCTCGTGAAGATCATGGAGCTGAAGGACTTGGTACAGCGGCAGCACGGGGAGGGCGCTCCGGTGGTGCGGCAGCAGCGGGTGCAGCAGCGGCAGCAGCAGCAGCAGCTTGCGCGGCATCCGAAGGGATTCCGTGTGGGGCAGCACAAGGCGCCGCCCGTGGGATTCGACCGGGACGACCAGCGAGCAAAGCCGTTCTGCGGCAGGTGCAAGAAGGCGGGCAAAGGTGAGAGCTACCACTTCTACCGCGACTGCCCGTTGGGCGGGCGCCAACACCCGCCCACCTCCGCCGCGGCATTCTGCATTCCTATCGACGAGGAGGACGCGGAGGGGGTGCATGCGCTTGCCATGTGTGCACTCTTCCAGCAGGCAGCGGACGATGGCGCGGAGTCCTTTGCTCGTGCGGCCGCCGCGTACGGGCCGCCTGCGGTGCTTTGTGCGGGGGCGGTGGGCGGCATCGACGTGTCCGCCTACGGCTTCGCGGTGGAGCAGCAGTCAGCTTCCGACGAGCCCGTAGGAGACGACATTTTCCGACGGCTCGACGATCTTGCCGCGGAGGTTCGCTCCGCGGCCAATCACCAGGTGCACTTCACACACGCATCTTTCCCGCCTCCTGACGTCGTCGAGCAGCAGGCTTCGGCTCTGGTGTGCGGACCCGCCGCAGCGGGGACTACGCCGGAGTAGCAGGTTCCGGCAGGTGGTGCGGCGGCATCGGCATCCGCCGTGCCGGCCCCTGCTATGCCTGTCTCGCAGGGAAAGGATGTGAATCCTGCGCCGCTGCAATCGGCGCGGGTAACCACCACAGCGGACGCGGACGGTGAGTTCGCTGGGTTCGTTCAGACCGTGAACCACGCCGCCATCGGGCAGATTGATCTCACGGGTTACGACACGGACGACTACGAGGACCTCGCCGACGGCAGCTTCATCGTGAAGCCGCGGGCTCCGGCCGTTTCGGCAAATCATGCGTCGGAGCCCGCGACCCACGTGCCTGTGTCTGGTGGTGCTTCCCGCACCTACGGATGTGGCAAGCCGCCATGGGGGAGCCGTCGCAAAAAGTTCGGCAAGAAAATGCATAATCGAACTAAATGGAGGTTTTTCGATGTTTGGAGAGTTACTAGGCCTTATTAGGGCAATAATAAGACCCCGTGAGGGAAAATTTAAAAAAAAAAAAAAAAAATTTAAAAAAAAAAAAAAAAAATTGGTCGCCGGGGGCAAAAACAGCTTTGTTTTCCGGGCCATTTTGAGTGCGCGGGTGCTAGAGGATTTCAGTTAGGTGACCAAATCACGCGTTTGAACTTCGTGGGACCTTTCAAGGACCATCACGGGCAACTTAGTGGAAGAAATGATGAGAAATTTCAATTTGGGTGCTCGCCGGGGGCCAAAATGGCTGTTTCTGGGGCCTGAGCAGGCCATTTTGCGTGCGCGGGGCTAGAGGATTTCAGTTAGGTATCTGAAACGCGCGTTTGATTTTCGTGGGACCTTTCAAGGACCATCACGGGCAACTTAGTGGAAGAAATGATGAGAAATTTCAATTTGGGTGCTCGCCGGGGGCCAAAATGGCTGTTTCTGGGGCCTGAGCGCAGGCCATTTTGAGTGCGCGGGTGCTGGAGGATTTCAGTTAGGTGACCGAATCGCGCGTTTGAACTTCGTGGGACCTTTCAAGGACCATCACGGGCAACTTAGTGGAAGAAATGATGAGAAATTTCAATTTGGGTGCTCGCCGGGGGGCAAAATGGCTGTTTCTGGGGCCTGAGCAGGCCATTTTGAGTGCGCGGGTGCTAGAGGATTTCAGTTAGGTATCTGAATCGCGCGTTTGAACTTCGTGGGACCTTTCAAGGACCATCACGGGCAACTTAGTGGAAGAAATGATGAGAAATTTCAATTTGGGTGCTCGCCGGGGGCCAAAATGGCTGTTTCTGGGGCCCGAGCAGGCCATTTTGCGTGCGTGGGGCTAGAGGATTTCAGTTAGGTATCCGAATCGCGCGTTTGAACTTCGTGGGACCTTTCAAGGACCATCACGGGCAACTTAGTGGAAGAAATGATGAGAAATTTCAATTTGGGTGCTCGCCGGGGGCCAAAATGGCTGTTTCTGGGGCCTGAGCAGGCCATTTTGAGTGCGCGGGTGCTAGAGGATTTCAGTTAGGTGACCAAATCGCGCGTTTGAACTTCGTGGGACCTTTCAAGGACCATCACGGGCAACTTAGTGGAAGAAATGATGAGAAATTTCAATTTGGGTGCTCGCCGGGGGCCAAAATGGCTGTTTCTGGGGCCCGAGCAGGCCATTTTGCGTGCGTGGGGCTAGAGGATTTCAGTTAGGTATCCGAATCGCGCGTTTGAACTTCGTGGGACCTTTCAAGGACCATCACGGGCAACTTAGTGGAAGAAATGGTGAGAAATTTCAATTTGGGTGCTCGCCGGGGGCAAAAATGGCTGTTTCTGGGGCCTGAGCAGGCCATTTTGCGTGCGCGGGGCTAGAGGATTTCAGTTAGGTATCCGAATCGCGCGTTTGAACTTTGTGGGACCTTTCAAGGACCATCACGGGCAACTTAGTGGAAGAAATGATGAGAAATTTTAATTTGGGTGCTCGCCGGGGGCCAAAATGGCTGTTTCTGGGGCCTGAGCAGGCCATTTTGCGTGCGCGGGGCTAGAGGATTTCAGTTAGGTATCTGAACCGCGCGTTTGAACTTCGTGGGACCTTTCAAGGACCATCACGAACCACTTCGTGGAACACTTCGTGGAACACTTCGTGGAACACTTCGTGGAAGAAATGATGAGAAATTTCAATTTGGGTGCTCGCCGGGGGCCAAAATGGCTGTTTCTGGGGCCCGAGCAGGCCATTTTGCGTGCGCGGGGCTAGAGGATTTTAGTTGGGTATCTGAATCGCGCGTTTGAACTTCGTGGGACCTTTCTTCGCCTGCGCTGCCTTCTT